CCGATTAATTTCTTTCTATTTTTATTAGAGACGGGGTCTCGCTCTTGCTCAGGCTGGTCTCGAACTCCTGAGCTCAAACAATCCGCCCGTCTCGGCCTCCCAGAGTACTAGGATTATAGGAGTGAGCCACCACGCCCGGCTCATATCCCCTTTTATGGAATAGTACTTTATGGAATATTGTATACTAAATTTCAAATAATACAATGGACATTGTTCCAACCCTAGAAGAGTAAAAATTCAGCCTAGTTATATTCTTTTTTTTATTTATTTATTATTCCAGGGTTTTGTGAGGGTACAAACATTATAGTTACACTTTATGTCTTTGCCTCACCCACCCAAATGTGGGTTAAAGGCATGCCCTTCCCTCCCTTTAGCGCTCCCCGTGTCCTTTAGTTGTAGATTTGGCCTCCCATCCCCCTAAGCCTAGTTATATTCTTAATTTAATGTGTCAACAACCAAGTGATTTTTCATCCCCTTAGAAATTAGGATTTCTAATAAAAATTAACTACCATATTTTATTAACTTCTATGTACCAGTTACTTTGTATACAGGATTATTAATATTAGTCTTAAAACAACCCTAGAAGGTAAGTGTAGTTATCTCCATTTTACTGATGAGGAAACTGAAGCCAAAGATGCAGAGAACTTGCCCAGTGTCACACAGCTACTAATTGGCAGAGCTACAATTTGAGCCCAGTGAATCCTGAGAACAAAATCTATACTCTTTCCATTAAATCACATTTTCACTGAGTTTGTGATGAGTGCCGATTATTGTCACACATGCGACATTTTTATATTACCAGGAAGGACATATGTAGTCAGTGAGAAGTCAGTTGGCTTTCAACCAACTGTTCAACCAATAATATTTGGATTTCAGATAGTGTGTTCTCATTTCTAATCCTGGGACCTCACTACTCCCCAGCTTGAACCATCCCTTTCTACATCCCAGAGCTTTGTACCATTTGAATACAGTGTATTTTCATTGTTAATGTCAACTATGACAATTTCATTGAAGATTGAAAATTAGAGTATTTAATGAGACAACAGCAGTCAGTGTTATAATATTAGCTATAAAGATCTTCTAACAGTCTGTCAGGTATGAGACACTTTTTTTGGTCTTATTCTGCAGCTAGAGGAATCACTCAAAGATTGAAATATACAATGAGATGACTTATGCTCACTGCCAAACCTCATTTCCTTTCAGGTTTCATTTGTGCAGTACAGTGATGAGGTCAAGTCTGAGTTCAAGCTGAACACGTACAATGACAAGGCCCTAGCCCTTGGGGCTCTCCAGAATATTAGGTACAGAGGTGGAAACACAAGAACAGGTACAGTTAATCAGAGTGTATGTGGACCTTCACTCTCCCAAGTATTTGGAGTGATAGAACTGAGTGTATCTTCTCCCTCAATGACCGGATTCTTATCAGTTGGGCATGGCTAATGGCATTTGGATAGTTTTCAGTGAGGTGACACTAAAATGTTCCATGGCACACTCTGTAGGCAAAGCCCTCACATTTATCAAGGAGAAAGTCTTGACCTGGGAGAGCGGCATGAGGAAGAATGTCCCCAAGGTGTTGGTTGTGGTCACGGATGGTCGGTCACAGGACGAGGTCAAGAAGGCGGCTTTGGTCATCCAGCAGTCAGGTAGGCACATTCGTGAATTTGATAGCACTCGTTATTTTAACATTTGTAAATGTTCAGGAATGATTGTAAAAGACCAAAATTGCTGATTTTACTTTGTTGTTCCTATTTTACTCTGTACTCTATATCCTTATAATGCTAGTTTATATTTGATTATGGAATGATTTGGTAATTGCTCAAAAATGACATCATGTATTCTCTGCATAGGATGTGAATCAGGGTTGTCAAGGCGTAAACCAGACTTCCCCATAGTAGCTGGAAGGTTACAGAAAGAAATGATAATGGGATAATCCTAGAGCAAGCTTCCTGCCACAGCAGAAATGAATCTCGATACTGGTTCCTGTATAAGAAGAGACATTAGCTTTAGCCTATTCTTGCAGATGCAGACCTAATGCAGATTGCTGAAAGGAACACTGCAAAGAAGGAATATCAAGGTCTCAGGGAGACATCTTTGGGCTAGATCTTGCCAATCAAATGTGTTGAGAACCTCCTAGTAACACTGACCTTTGGATTAGTTATTTACGGTTATTAGAGATGAAACTAGGTCTTTCCAGTACTTGCATTAACATCCCCCACTCACCACCAGCTCAAGCAGGGTCTAAGGTCAACATATTTTTAGAGAGAATCCTATGCTATGCATGATCTATCGTAGTAAAGTACTTTGTTATATAGACTTTGTCACTTGCACATACATGATCCTTTGGCTAAAATTGTAAGTCATGATTAGTGCTAACTCATACTGTCTTTTTTCAACAGAGATTGTTCTTTGTTATGATCTTTTATAATTTATTGCCTTTATGTTATGCATCTTGAGCAGATTTCTGCATATTCTGGGGTCCCAAATTTAAGTTAGCTAGGACCTCAGAATGTGCAGAAATCTTCTCAAGTTACCTTACATATAGCTAATTATATTCTAATTTGTCATATAGCCTATTTTTTTCCTGATGTCAAATTAAGCTTTTGGAGTGAAAAATTTGTTTATTTGTAATAGCCTAAATAAAGGAAAGTCTGTTGCCAGTGGAAATGGTGGATTCCGTTTCCCATGTGGCCAAAGTGCTGCCTTTGAGCATGAGTTTGCTGAGAAAATCAGTTTCAAGAATTTAAATTTTAAAATGAGCCCATTCTTGGCTTCTGAGTCACGTAAGCTTAAAATATTAATGGCCACAGAATTCATGTGTATATTAGGACTGTGGATCTGTGGAAGGCACTGTGTACCACATGAATCTTTCTGCTATTAAAATATTCATCTTTTAATTGTTCAGAGTTTATTTTAGGAAATCCAGTTAAATGAGTTTTATAAACAAGAGAATAGGAAGGCCTGGAAAAAGTACATATTTATTAAAGAGAGTTCATGGCAAATAAAAGGACTTGCTGCATATACTTAAGAAAATGCAGCATCGTATCTGATAAGATTTTATTTGGAATTGTTCAAACAATAAAGGACAAAAAAAGGGATATGCGATTCATTGTATAAATTCTACTGTGCAGGGTTCAGCGTCTTTGTGGTTGGTGTGGCTGATGTCGACTACAACGAGCTTGCCAACATCGCCAGCAAACCAAGCGAACGGCACGTTTTCATTGTGGATGACTTTGAATCTTTTGAGAAGATTGAGGACAACCTTATTACATTTGTTTGTGAAACTGCCACTTCAAGTAAGTCATGGACAACGTGAATCCATAACCTCACTTGTTTTGAAAAATAATTACCTAGTAGATGATTCTCTATCCTATCTGGGATCAAGTCTGTGCATAAATAGATCCTGGGAAATCACTTGAGAACCTGATGAATCACTGTTCCTATGGAGATCATGCTAAATGTGTGCTTGTCAGAAGTCCATTTTTAGCCTTGAAGATGTAATTTCCTTGTACGGAAATAAAGTATTTTAATATATTTTTCCCTGCCCCCCCCACCCCAAACCCGTGACATTTGAGTAAATTCATCTTCAGCTTAGAATTGCATATATGGAAGCATTTCTGTGAAATGAAGGTTTTCCACATTAGTAATCAATTGGTATTTGTTCTGTCAACATCCATGCTTCGAAAAAACAACGAAAAAACTGGTTTGTGTGTGTGTGTGCTCCACAGAAATTCATTTGGTTCCTATTTGTTTGTTGGGGTTAGATTTTCAAGTTTGGCTTTTAAACTACAGTGAAGGGCCAAAGATTGATTATTTAAGCCAGTTTATCCTCTTCTCCCTCCATTAGCACCGATTCTTGGGGTATTGGAATATGGAGACAATTATGTGGCTAGTCCAGACTCCTGGTCCTAGGCAGGAGTATGCTCCACAAGTATAGTGTTTCCCTCCCATTACAAAATGTATTAAAAACATAAAACTCTGGTGAGAGTAAACAAAGCTGAGTGGTTTACTATGAGTTTACTATGAAACCTTATGCTGAAATCCAGAGTGGGGCTGCACTGGTGAAAGTGGGGGGCGGGGCTGGAGTTATCTGCCTTCCACTCCAGGTGGTCCTGGCTACAGCTCTCTGGTACCCCTGGCTCTGGGGGGTCCAGGGAGAAAACTGCTGCACACTTGTTACCATTACATGACGTTTGTTACCCAGCGTGAGGCTCCGGGACTTGGCAGAGAAGAGGGTTGGGGAAGGACAAACTCCTCCTATCTTTGCATAAATCTAAAATTCTCTGGGAGAGAAGTTCTTCAATCTATTGAAAAACATATGAAAACTTCCTCCTTTAATTCTCTTTTATTATTCTTAGAAACACTGTAAAATTCCAGTTGCACTAGAGAATGTTCAGAAAACATTTGTTCCACTGGTTAATAGTATAATTTCTCCTACACACAGGAAGTCTATAAGAAATAACTTATAAAAGATTAAATTGATGTTGTTTTTTAATAAATAAATGAACAATTTCATTACTTGAAATATTAATACATATATTGCTACTTTCTGTGCATATATAATGTTTGTACATCATGTTGGTGCATCACACTTAAAGAACGCTGTGCCTTGCAGGTTGTCCTCTCATTTATTTGGATGGCTATACCTCACCAGGTAAGCATTTATACTTTGGGGCTAATTAATTTCAAAATTTAAGCAATAAAATAATTAAAATATACTCATTTTAGTATTTTTTTCTTTTCTGACATAAAGGTTTTAAGATGCTCGAAGCATATAACCTGACAGAAAAGAATTTTGCATCTGTACAAGGCGTATCTTTGGAGTCAGGGTCTTTCCCCAGCTACTCAGCTTACAGGCTTCAGAAGAATGCATTTGTGAATCAGCCTACAGCGTAAGTGCGCCAGCAGTAGGTTCTTTTTTTCTTACAATGGGCAAGAGGTTCTTGGAATCTTTCTGGCTTCTTAGAATCCTGGAACTCTAGAACTGTCAGAAGACTTCTTATGGATGACCTAGTTTGGTTTCCTGACATACAGTTGGATTAATTGTTTTCCATCAGGTTGTATAATGGTTTGCATGCAGGAGAGACTAAGACTCAAGCCTCATTATTCCCAGATCCAAGAATCTCACCCTGGTACTGCAATATTATGGGTTATTGGCCCCTTTGAATTTAAAGCCTGGGTTGTAGTTACGCTTCTTTTAAGGGAGGCTGTTAAAACAGGAAGGCAACTTATTATTTTGAACATTTCTCCCTGTGGTGCAGGACTGGATGGAATGAGTACAGACTTAGAGCAAGCATTCTTTTTAGTGTTTCAGACCTGTAGAGAATGAAAGCCTGCATAGTTTTTCTTGTCCATGATCAGACAGTCTGTGGCTAGTTTTTATTGGCTGATGCTCTGGCAATCTGTTGGGTAACTCTAGATATTATTATTCTACTTCATGAAAGTTTGTACCTGGGTATAATAACTGAAATATGTATTTCTTATTCATTAAAATGAAATCCTGTGTCATGTTGAAAAATATGTGTTTTCTAGTTTATGGACAAAAAAAGAATATGAAGAAAGAAAGCTACCAGAAACTTAGGGCAGGGTCAGAAAATGATGTCTGAAATTTGAAATACTCTGGGAAAGCTGATGGAAAATTCAGATTGAAACCAAAACTAATTTATTTTAAGGAGGCACAGATCATATTATTGTAGTTTGACCACATTGTAAGTTCCTAACCCTTTTATGGTTAACCACGTTGGTTCAAAGTTCTAGGTTTTACAGTGAACCTTAATAACCTAGGTTTAACTTTTCTAGGCACCTTAAGATGTGATTACTACATTTTAACTTATGACAGCCTGTTGTCCTCTGAAGAGCCAGAACTTTTGGCAGACAGGAAAGAAGCATAAATGAAATTAAATTATTTTTTTTTCACAAGCACTAGTTAACTAGGGAAGAAGGAGAAAAATGGGCTAGGTGAGAGCTGAGTTAATATGGAGGAAATATTATTTTTAACATGGAATATTATAAAGATAGTTCTTGAACATGTAAAAGGGATCATGCCAGCTTGTCCAGAGCACATGTTTAAGAAGCTAGACAGCATTATAGTCCAGAAGTACCAGTGGTGTGGTACTAGTACATGGAACCTCAGGAGACATTCCGTGTCTTCTGCCACAATTCATGGAAAAATAGCTTCTTTTGTGTCTGAGAGGTGATTATCAAGGCCTTTTTCTTACCTTCAGGGAGATCATTATTAAATGGCATTAGACAGAAAACCATTAATTCTGCTTCAAAGATTCCCCCAGAACAATGACTGACTCAACTCTGGAAGGACACACGGGACTGATTTTTTTTGTCTCAAAGCTTAGAGCCAAGAAACACTTCCTTTTAATTGACTCACATTCTTTTATCATCACTAAACATTTGCACATGTACATCGCCTTAACATTTACAATTGGTTTGGTTTTGGGGAATATGAGAGCTCTGGAGGTAATTTATTTGATTTCAGGGGAATAATTAAGAAGTGTAAAAACTATTAGTGATAAGAGAGAGAGAAATTAAAACCTTAAGCCATTTTATGATCTCATATGCCTGACATTGTAAGTTAAGTATATTTAGCAAAATTCATTCTCTTTAAATGATAGCCATAGTTATAATGTTTATCACTCTAAAATTATTATATAATTTTATAATCCTCTTTGTGTCTAGAAAAATTAGTTATTAATAGTAGGATAAAAGATTATTTGGTAATTTCCCAGAGTTTTGTGAATTTATCAAGTTATAAATAATCTATTAGTATTATAATTTACATAATGTCTTTAGTGTTTGTTCTTTTGATGTGTTTCCTAAGTTTTTCTCCTTCTAAAGAGAAATCAGAAGGAGCCAGATTATTACAAATAGCTTCTAATACCACCCATAATGAGATTCTGGTCCAAAAATTTAAAATAATCTCTGTTCCTGATGTTAAATCAACCTTTTTCTTTTCTTTTTTTCGTTTTATCCAACAGAGACCTACACCCAAATGGACTCCCCTCTTCATACACGATTATATTATTGTTCAGACTTCTCCCAGAAACTCCCAGTGAACCTTTTGCAATTTGGCAAATCACAGACAGAGATTACAAACCACAAGTTGGAGTGATTGCAGATCGTAAGGATTTTTCTCTTATTTTAAGACACATACATACGTAGTTTTGATTATGTTTTCCCTTTCCTTCTCTTTTCTCTTTAAAAACCTTCTGAGTATATATATATGTGTGTGTGTGTGTGTATGCACACATATATACTTGATATATGCTTTTATGTTTACACTCTTCCAAATATAAAACATTAGTAGATATCCTAATTGCATTTTATCATAATTGAAATTATTGCATTTTTGAGAAATCTCTACAAGAATTATTTGTAGATACTTTCAATAAAAAGTATACCATGCATGTGATTTAATAATAATTTTATGTTGATTACAGCTTCTAGCAAGACGTTATCATTCTTTAACAAGGATACAAGAGGCGAGGTACAAACTGTTACATTTGACACAGATGAAGTACAGACATTATTTTATGGAAGTTTTCATAAGGTAAAAATATAAGATTGAATCTTATTTCTAGAAGAAAGAATATGACTTAAAAATTAACTAATTTCTTTTATTATTTATTAAAATGTCACATTAAATTGGCAGAATCATAGCTATGTCTTTTAAAAATAAAATCTTATTTCAGAGAATTTGTTGATTCAAAAAGGAGCATTTAAAATAAAACAATTCTACTAATCAAGAGATAATTACTATTAACATTTGGGTATATTTTCAATGCTTATATCTTTTCAAAATTTGAACCATATAGTATATGTGATATTGTTCACCTATTTTTTCTATTTACCATTTTATTGTAAACGTTTATGTCATTCAATTTGAAAGGCTTAATTTTAGTGGCTCATATTTTAATTGATAATATTATTTTTTTATAGAGAACAGTAATCTTATGCTTGCTCATTTATTGAAAAGTTACAAACATACCAGTGAAATGCAGAACATTTTTATTAGTCTACAAGTTATTGATATCTACCAAAATAATTAAGATAAATGTTTATGGGATTAATTTTTTACATGAACACATTTATTCTCTAAAAACAGAATTTTCTAAAATATCTTGTTAAAAATTCTAAGATGCATTCTAGGGGATTGTTTATTCTTGGTAATCTTAATTAACTTTTTGTATATCAGCATCCAGAAGATAGTAGAAACTTTCTTTCAGATTTCTAAAGGATGATTAGTTGACAAATAAGAAATATTTCTTCTTAAGAAGTACTAAAGTTGAAAACATTAGAAATAAAAAGAACACTCTAGGTTAGGAATGGACTTTTTGGTGTACTTCTTCATGCATTGAATTACGTTAACAAGAATACCAGTTGCACAAGTCTAAAATTTCTCCAGTGTGGCATGCAGAAAGATTAGCTCCCATACATGAAAGACGAATATTTCTAGTTCAATCTGATTCTCAAGTGAAAATTGAAGAACGTTTCTCTACTTGAGTAGATTTAGCAGGATTTCCTGCTGTTTCTACTTCTAAGGAATCTTGGTTTCTTTCTAGAATGTTTTTCTCATTCGTGAATCAGATTCTTGATAAGGATGGTGAAGGACTCTCTCATCAAACTCAAAGAGGCTTCAATGTCCACATTAGTGATAATCCCTCACCCAAATAAAGGAAAACACAAAAATCTCTGAATACAATAGTATATTTGCTTTAAAGTTTACAGACTTTCATGGTAAAGTGCAGTAAAATAAATGCCTCATTGGGAAAACAAATTCTAGTTTGGCAAATGTTATTGACTTCAACTGATTCTTATCCGATAATAGATGTTGAATCTGGCATAGTTCTTATAAACTTTTTTGGCTCATTGATACACACATTAAACTTACATTTGTCTAATTTTCTAAAAAAACTGTTTTATTTTTCCTTTTATACCCACTTAAGATATTAAGAATCTCATCTTCTACTAAACAACTGATAACCATTTAGTAACTGATTTTTAAATTTCCAACTTTCATGGAATGCTTCATTTTATCTGAGTCAAAAAAGGCAGCATTTTTCAAAGGTCTGTAGTAATAGTCACTAATTATTACAAATCAGGATACCTATTTTTTTTTTTTGACATTCCCTTCTTCATACATTTGCCTTCCCAGAGAGAGATTTGCATTCTTGGATTTTATATAGTGCCTCTTTTTTTCTCCTTCTCACAAGCTCTGTCTTTTCTCCCCAAATTCTCTACCTTCTTTTTTCCATAATCTGTCCTTTTTTACTTCCTCCTTTCCTTTTTCACTATGCCCTTCTTCCTCCTTCATTCCTCTACCCCATTCTTTTTTTTTAAAAAACAGCTTTATTGAGACATCATTGACATATGAAAATTGTATATATTTATGGTGTACAATGAAGTGTTTTGATTTACATACACATTGTGAAATGATCTCCGCAATCGAACTAATTAACATATCCATTACCTCTACATAGTTACCATTTTGTGTGTGTGTGTGTGTGTGTGTGTGTGTGCGCGCGTGAGCACGCGTGCACGTGTGCGCTGAACAGACTTAATCTAAGATCTAGTGTCTTAGCAAATCACAAGTACACAATACCCCCACACCATTCCTTTAACCCACTCTTATTTATCCCATCAATTCAAGCACCACCTTTAGTCACTGTCAGCTGTTTACATTGCTAAATGGATTCAAGCACTCTCCTTTGGCTTTCCCTCTGATTCCTGAACTAAAGTTCTTCAACCTTGGGATGAGAATGAACAGTACTCTGAGAGCAGGACATTAGTGACAGTGATAGGGAGAGGGCCCTTTGGGAGAGAGGGGATTAGCTAACACAGTTTTTTTTTGTTTTTTTTTTTGAGACAGAGTCTTGCTCTGTTGCCCTGGCTAGAGCGAATGCTGTGGCGTCAGCCTAGCTCACAGCAACCTCAAACTCCTGGGCTCAAGCAATCCTACTGCCTCAGCGTCTCGAGTAGCTGGGACTACAGGCATGTGCCACCATGCCTGGCTAATTTTTTCTATATATTTTTAGTTGTCCAGATAATTTCTTTCTATTTTTTTTTAGTAGAGACAGGGTCTTGCTCTTGCTCAGGCTGGTCTCGAACTCCTGAGCTCAAACAATCTGCCCTCCTTGGCCTCCCAGAGTACTAGGATTACAGGCATGAGCCACCGTGCCCGGCCTGCTAACACAGTTTAATTAAGCAATGGCAGACAGTTATTGCTTCTTGTGGATTCTCTCGAAAAGCTTCGTGTCTCCACTTATAGCCCTGATTCAAGCATTACAAAAGCAATCCATATAGCCCCATACTATTTTGAAATGAAAAAAGGAAGAAAAAAAAAACTGTCTGTCTCCTTTCGATTGTTAACATATGACATAGATCAATGTGAGAAATTTAAAATAAAGGGAAGAACTAGAATACGTGAAAAATAAGATTTTGCAGAATGGCAGAGGCCGGGAAGGGAGATGAGTGAGAAGATATCTATTTCTTTCTACTGGTCTGGGACCAATAAAATTTGACAGGAAATGGGTTCATTACCCTAAATACTTGGGACAGTGATCTACAGATGAAGATCTTAATCCAAAATGTAACTATGCATGTGTTTAAAATATAATAAAGCCAGTTGAATAAATTATAGCAAAATGTGTTTTTAGGATGTGCTTCTTCACGGTTAGCATCGAGTGACAAGTGTACTTGGAATAATTTGGATACAAATTAAAGCAGTTTTGATTTTGAAATAATTTTTCTGGATACGGTGGTTTTTCAGATGCTTTCTGAGTGTTTGCTTCTGTGGTTGTTCATATAAGGGCCAACAAAGAAGTTTTAGTTCTTATTAGATAGTAAATATCCTGGAAATTCTTGTATGATGTTCCTCTTGAATTCAATATTAGTTGATTGTCTTGGAGGCATTTAAACTTTACTTTTAGTAAGCTGTATATATATATACTTTTATATAAAAGAAATATGTAATTCATATTTATCATAGATGCACTAAACTAATGTTTTGGGGTGATTCCATGTGGGGAAAATATTTAGTTTAAAAATAAAACTTTAGAAATTGTTCTTATGCTTGCTGACTGAGAGCATTTAAGGGAATTTCTGTTCCTTTTAACTTGCTGCCAAACTTTTCAAAGCAATCGTCAAGTGCTTACTTGAGTATTTGTGCCATGATAAGTGGAAACGCTGAGCATGACTATGCAGTCAGGGATTAGCCAGGACCATTTTTTTTTTTTTTTGGAACAGAGTCTTGCTTTTGTTGCCTGGGCTAGAGTGAGTGCCGTGGCGTCAGCCTAGCTCACAGCAACCTCTAACTCCTGGGCTCAAACAATCCACCCGCCTCGGCCTCCCAGAGTGCTAGGATTACAGGCATGAGCCACCCCCCTTGGCCAACCAGGACCATTCTTTACATCGTTGGAATACAAAAGCTTTATTGATTATCTACACTAATAGATTTCTTAACATTCTATGTATCTTTAGTAGCGACAAAAAGTAAATCAACATAAGCGTTTTTCCTTAAAAGGAAATTGAATACTGGATTCTATTGATTTCCAGAGTTTAATCTCTATAGAAGACATGTGCTAGTTCTTTACTATATTAGATATTT